TTTAAAAAAAAAAAATTTTTTTTTTACTTTAAGGGCAAGTTTTGGTTCCTGAAGAGGTCACTTTTCCCAGTGCGTGTTGTGTTGGAATTGCATCTCAGACATCACTGAATATATTTAACCCAAATGAAAGATGGATGCAAGTTAATATTGGAGTTCTCTGTATTGCAATAAATGGAGAAAAAGTAAGTGGTGCCGCTTACAATAAGTAAAGATCCTTTTCTACATTCTTACTAATAAATATTGCATACTCCTGTGCTTTAAATGAACATTGGGTTGGTTTTTGATTTTTATGTTCTTGCCTTCTTTTACAGTATTTGAGAATTGTGACCATACAAAGTTTAGCATGTCTTGAGATGTGAATGTTGCCCCATCTATATAGTGGAGAAAAAATGCATTTTTGTATGTCTGGAACTGATATATATTTTTCTTTTGCACAGATTGACATTGGGGCTCACCAGTGTCTGGTTTTTAAAAACAAGACAATAATTGGGCCTCGAGCATCTGAAGACATAAAGATTCTCCTCCTGCCCCATAGACCAGGGCTTTTCCAATGTGTTCTCAGTGTATCATCTTGGCCTGTTTCTGCTGACACTGAGTCGATTGTACGGGCAGACACTATGGCTTCTAAAGTTCTACTTGCTGCGGTTTCAGAATATCCTTTACTTGAGGTAACTTTAAGTGTCTAAAAATATTGACATGACTTAATACGTATTTTCTGATGGTGAATGCAAGCATAGCTTCTGCATTTTACATCTATAAGCTGTAGGCCTTTATCAGAAACAAGTAGTAAAGTATAATTGATTTATGTTTGTAATATATGGAATTTTTCACCCATTTACAGTGCAAGACTGTAAATGCATTTATATACTTTTTAATTTATAGTATGCAGCAATTTCTGGACCTCCCAGATGTGGTGAAACTACAAATCCCATAATGCATCTGCCTTTGGAAGTCGTCAGATTCTTGCAATGCCTAATGGGATTTGTAGTTGTACTACAACTGGAGGGCCACAGTTTGTCTACCCATGGCATACAGATTACATTTAAACTTCATCCTCAACCAGCCTGGGTACTTAAATGAGACTTCCACACTGAAATAGAAGTATTTATCCTGATGCTGGGCCAACTGTATAGTTGTATGTGATTTGATGAGCACAGAGCATTCAGGCTGGAAATTGATTCTTTAACTGTTAATGTTCCTATCATTTTTTATTATAATCATTATGCCCTTGTCCTGTCCAAACAGGTAGACCCAGGAAAAAGTGAAGGCTTAGATTTTGGGGATTTATCCTCTGGCGGTTGGAAAGCACTTCCTCTGAAAATAATGAATAGAACTCGTGCTACAGTGCCCATCAGACTTATTATAAGTGCTGTAAGTGTTAAAACCAAAGATCTGATTCATGTTATGACTTTTTGCTTTTTTAAATGTCAAATTCCACATGATGCTTATTTGTGGGTTATTAGAGCACTAGGCTGGTAATAAAGTTGTTGTGTAGCCTTTGTTATGATGCTGAAGAGATTTAGGTGACTACATTCTGTTTTACAGTCTCTATACTTGTATTTGGCAAATAAGTCTTAAAGAAAGTTCCAGAACTAGAAAAGCTGTTAGAAAGAAGAGGATGTAGTTTACCATAAATTGGAAAATTGTCAAAGGTGGCCATCAAAGTTAGAATGATGAGTCTGGGCTTGATGCGAACATGATTCGCCTGAGTTTCCCCAAGCCCACTCAAAACTGTGACCATCGCTCCCCCCTTCCGACCATGTCGGTAGCAGTTGCAGCTGGGTAATTCCCATCTCCTTTCTAACCTGTAGCTGGGGGTGGGGATTGCGCTTCCCTACACCTTATTGGGTCAGGAGGAGGGGGTGGCAGTCAGTTTTTAGCGGACATTGTGCAAACTAAGGAACTGAATTTGCACCAAGCCCCAGGCTCATCAGTAAAATTAGAGGATTGTTTTCTGATCTAGCCAAGCTCTTTTGCGCAGCAAAAAGGAAAATTTAATTCAGGCTGGTTAGAGAGCTCTTTGTGCATTTTATACCTGATTAAGCTGCCATTAGAGCTGCTGTGCATTCCTTCTCCATTCAGTTAAATGTACTTGTTTGGGTGGCCTTTGTTGATTTCAGTGTGGTCAGAATTTGCATGCATGTCATACTGTACTCTGCCTGTATATTTATGCTTTTGTGTACAGGGGTTTCTTCACACAGTTCAAAAACATACTGACTTTGTTTTCACTTACCCCTTACTCCCTAATGTGTACAGTATGTGCATATAAAATATTTATATAATGCTCTTGAGAAACACTACACTGTTACTTTACTGTTAAAGTGGACGCTCACTAAAAAAAGAAAAGGTCCTCCATTGCACCACTGCATTCCTTTCCCCTCCGTACGGTAAAATAACTGACTTTTTTTTGGGGTGGGGTGTTACTTCTTTTTGCCCCATGACTACATTCTCGCCCAGACGAGAAATACATGTTCCTACTCCTGAAGTCTCCTCCCCATCGCATATCTCAAGAGGCTTCAGCTTCTACATTGCATTAAAGAAAGGCTGACATGCTATTGGAGAAGGGTGCACCTAGTGTGCATCATCAGTGCGCTGGCTGCCTTAATGAGCAGCTCTCGATTGACATTGAAGATGGCTTCACAGCACCCTGGCGTTTTGGCAGCTGAGCGGCAAATCACAGGGCAACGCTGGGTTTGCTGGGCAGGCGAGTTGGTAAATTTAGGATGAAAGCTAAAAAGGAAAAAATTAATTGGGGGCAGGGGTTAAGTTTCGCGTTAATATCTTAACTGATTGCGTATACTTCAGAGAACTTTCAATTCATTTAAAATGTTTCAATTATATAATGTTTACGATACCTCTTTTTATGTTTCTAGAATGCTACAGCATGGCGCTGCTTCACTTTTTCCAAAGATCCAATTAATCTAGTAAAAGGATTTGGTGTTCATACAGATCCTATTTCTAAGATGTCTTCACCTTCTGTCATAAGTCATGTTATGCAAGCATCACATGATGGGCAGGTAAGACGCTAGGTTTACAACTTATTATTTACTTAAATGAAAGTGACTTTTTTTTTATCCATATAATGTACGCATGTTAAATTCCAAAATGGCTTTCTTTTAGTTTTACGTGTGTGTTTTATTGTTTCATTATCTAGTTCAGAAAAGGGTATTTCAGCCAACTAGACAAAATATAAGTATCACTGTACAATTGACTAAAAAGTATAACTTTGGTATCTTCTGTGACATGTTGCTTGTCAAATCAACTTCCTTTTTCACACCTGTGGACATTTTGAAATATATCTGTTGATGTCTTTTATTGTAAACTTACAAGAGTTAACAGATTTTTCTTTCCTGTCTATTCTCATCCAGGGACAAAGCCCAGGATAACCCCTCCTACTACCAGCATGCCTCACTTATCCATTAGTGACCTAGGAGGATGGATGTCCTTTCTTCAGCTCTGCTGTGAAAAGTAGAACTTAAATTTGCTGAGTTTTTTTTTTTCTCTCCCATGTTTTTCTCCTCATTTGATATTTTTCTCTACATCTCTGCTAGAGCTGGTCTCTGATTTTAGCTCTATGGTGTGGTTTATCCTCAGCTTGGTCTTTTGTATGCGTATTCCTCTGGATTGGACATTGTGGGGCATGCCTGGAAGTGACCTTTTTTGCTTTAGGTTCCTCATGAGGCAATTTCCAAACCGCATTGTGGTAACAAGTTAGCTGCGGAGCACTTTCCAGGTCAGCTGTTGGCTTTGCCTCAGTGCTTGCCCTGTCTTTAAGACTCAATCTGTGAGTAGGTGGATCGGACAAAGCTTTGGAAGCTACCTCATTGTTTAGTTCATTTTAAAGTTCCTGCTTTCCATTTGTTACTACCTAGCATTGAGTGCCTTCATTTGCCGAGTGTCATTCTCTCTGCGCCCTTTCTAGGCATTCAGCATCAAGGAGGCATCTGCTGCTTCTGCTTTGGAAAGAATCCTGTGGAGCTCTGATCTGTTCTTACTTCTTGCTTTATAGTCACTTTCTTCATCTCTGGCCATCTGACCTTCACTGGTTACCAATTTTGTGAGTATCTGAGGCCTTGCCTGATACCCTGAGTTTAGTTCCCTTTAATGTCGCGCAGTCACATGTATGATATTTGTTTAATTTTTTTCAACAATGTATTTATAAAGAGGTCAAAATACATTAACTTCAAGCGCCTCTTAGTACAAGGCCTACTGTAGTTGGCTCAAAATTTATACTAGGGTTGGCTGAACCAACCACTATACACTGAACCCTTGTTACCAGTGCTCTGCAGCTCCTCTCCTTCTACCTTCAACTGTCACTGCACAGATAAACATATCTACCTCTGCCTCCTTGGGGGTCTCCTGAACCAAGAGATCCTTGTACTACTTCTTGTGCCAGTTTGGTCTCTGGAGCTGTACCCCAACTTGACCACCATTCTTTCTCCCAGAGAAATGTTTTTTGTTTCTTTTGTGATCTGTATGTTCGATAGGTTTCTAGGGTTTCTTTAGGGTCCTGTACCTTCAATGGGTGTGTAGGGTATACGTCAGGTTTTACCATCACTGTCCCTCTCCTGAGGGACTTGTTGGCCTCTTTGGTCAGCCAGGACATGTACATACTAATCAGAGGCTCCCCAGGACTCTGACTTTTTTCAGTCTCACCCCTTGAACCATGCATTTTCTTGGCTTCAGTGTTTGCACAGTTGTGGTTCAATCAGACAACCTCCTGTGGCCGAAACTGTTGACAAGGGCACTGTTGGACAAAGTCATCCTGATGGTCCAAATGTTTCCAAGATTCGGCTGGATTTTGTTAGAAATCGATGAGTTTTTAATCAACAGCAGGCAATGTAAACCCAGCATGTTGCTTCAGCAGAGGAATTTACAGCATATTGGCTCTCATGTCCTTACCCCTTGGTCAGAGCGTTACCAGTTCCTCAGCGGTTGCAAGAGAGTTGTGTGTTGGTGGGGCATCCTCTCCAAGGTGCCCTTTTTCTGGCGTTTTTTTCTTAGACTCTGCTCTTCCCTCTGCTGTTGTGGATGAAGTTTCTGCCCCTGTGGATCATTTAGTTCCTGGCCTAGTGAATGAGGTTGGAGAAGACTTCTCCATCCTCCTTCTGGAAAATAGGTCTTTGGCATAATCTTGTCCTGCATTCTGGAATTCCAGAACAGGTAGTTCCTTCTGCACCATCGTATCATTCCCTGGAGAAGTTTCTTGCTATGGATACAGTTGGCATGCCTCTACCATCGAGGAGAAATGGAAAACCTTGCTGTGAGGGCAGGTAGTTTTTTCCTTAGAGCTTTGCCCTAGTATTTTTTGTTTTTGCTCTTTGCAGATGGGTGGGAGTTAGAGCCAAGCTCATCATGTCTGCATTCCACCTTCTGAAAAGATCAGGATGAGGTCTACCTTTCCCCCCCCCCCCCCCCTGCCTGTTGTTCCCATGTACCTTTTACCTTATTTGGTCATGCTGACTCCATGGGATCCAACCGGAGGAGGTGGAGTCAGAGTTACCTACAAGGAGTACAGCGGCGGTTCCTATGTTATCCTTGTGGTTCTTCCCTGGTAGTCATTTTCTTGGCGAGTTGCATGTCTGCCCTGTTATTCCATGCATAGACCCCCTTTATGCTCTGTTGAACCTTATGAGATAAGGTGAGTTGAGGCGTCGGGCCCTCAATACTCAGGGGAGGCTCTGCTCTTCTGCCATGACATTGATCTCCGGGAAATTGTTTTTCTGGTCCCCCCCACCATCCTGGTAGGAACGGGTAGACCAGCGATTTAGCGTTTGTTAATATTAACTATGTTAAAATGGTTAACTTAGAAATGCACATTTTGTTATTCTAAGTTCACTTCCTTTACATTTCCAGCTTCCAGTTAACCCATCAAAATATGACAGTTGTCTTTTATAAGCCATATAAAATATGATAGGACCAGGTGGTTGTTTTTTTTCCTTAAATGGTAAGCCTGTCTGTAACATATGATATTTTTTGAATTTTTTGAGAACCCCAATTGTGAGATCTCCCGAGCATTTTTTGTCTCTTGTTGTATTCTTTAATACACTGTAAAATACATTTAAATCAAGAGACGAGATTGGAATACTGTTTAAGGTTCATGACAGGTGTGTAATTTAGATGGTACAAATGCGCAGTTCTTACCATCACAGTTTTAGGATCTGTGTGGATCTTCTTGGCAAGTTAATTCTAAATCCAGCACCAAAATATTGATTTAAATGGACTTGTTCTTTTAATATTCGTATATCTCCGATATTGTACGCTGTATTACAATGATAAAATGTCCTTAACATTAATTGAACTATTGGTTAAACTATCTAATAGTTTTCATGAATAACGATAACTCTATTGATTGTATACTCATTCTCAGCATTGTCCGTATACAACAGTCACTGTTGCTCCTATTCCTGTTTCCAGTGTCCTTGCTTACCCTGCTAAATAAATTCAAACTAATAAAGTATTCAAGTAAAAATATAGTCTATCCAACATTTATTTTTAAATGTCATCTCACCTTATTAAAACGTTTACATATGTGCTTACTTTAGGAGCCTGAGTGTTTTGCAGTATGGGTTGTGTTTCATGCACCACAGACTTACAACTCTGCAGGTATGTCTGTCCATTATTTGAAGCCTTTGGGGATTTTAACTCTGAATGAGATATATCAATCAATAGATAGAGATGGACATAGGGGTGGAGCGGGAGGGAGATTGTTTGTTAGCTGGCTACACTCCCTCACTCATTTTTTGCAATACTTATTTTTCTTCCATTATTTGATAGGTTCCCTTGGCCCACCAGAAGAGTTTACAGCAAGGGTCGATATTGAAATTGACAGCCCAGGCCCAGCATGCATGCTAAAATGTATCCAGCTAAGAGCAAGGGTTGGTTGTGCAAGGATACATGCCCCTAAGGACTTGCAGGTAAAGTTAAAGTATAAAACTTTTTTGCTGTAAAATTGTTGAAAGGACTGGGCTGAAACCTTCTGGCTAAAGGTATTATGGGGAATTAGCCACTCAGTGGGCATTTTATTACCTTTTATGATCCACTTGTGTTCTGTGTGGTTTCTGCCATATTCACTATTCAACCAATCATTCCTTTTTTTTGCACATGCCAACCTACAATAACTGCTTTTCTCTAAATTTGTTGTCATGCTTTGCTACTGTGACTGTTTTCCTTTGCTGCTCTTTCATTCTGTCCTTATTAGTCTTTTTATACTGCCTTGAAATTCATAAAATTCTGGGCTTGTTTTATCATGAATTAACTGCATTAATTTAGAGATAGCCCCCTCTACAATGTTTGTGTCTTTGCTGTCGATTCTTTCTGTAACAGCTACCCTCACCTCTTCTGTTAGTTTGACAGTCATTTCTAAAGCTGGCCATACACCTTACAATTATCTGCAGATTTTCTGTGGTCAGGTGGAAAAGGTGCAACAGATTCCTCCATCTACACTTAACTTTGTGGCTGGAGTAATCTCCAACTGGGCCAATCTGTTGTACTTTTTCCATCTGACCACAGAAAATCTGCAGATAATTGTAAGGTGTATGGCCACCTATGAGTGCTAACTACAGTGCACAGCTGTCGGTCGCAGACAATTCAGGAAAGGCTTGTTGGCTTTGCCCTATAGTTGCATTGCACTCTTTATTTCGTGATTGTCCACACAGGACAGAGGGAGTTAATTCTTAGACCACTGGGTTTCTGCAGCTACCTTCAGGTGATTGCATCTGGACAGCCTTGCATAACCCCTCCCAATTACAGTCTGCCATATTTCCTTTCCTAGTGTCCTTAGGTGATTTAGATGTCTTCTATCGGCTGTGAGAGAAGTAGCTTTTTTTTTTTTACTTGTTCTTCAAACAAATTTCCCTAATGCTGCTCTAACCAACTGCAGTGTCTCCAGCAGCTATCTGGATTGACTTTCTTCTCGCTCAGAAGAGCATTGGCAGACCGTACACAGACCCTGCCAAAAGGAAGATGTAGTACTGGCCTGTAAAGTGCTTTGTACTGGAACCCATGTTTAGCACTGTCCTCTGCACTTAGTACACTGCATGTGGTTAACCGCAGGGTGCTTTCATGTCCAGCCATGTGGTCTTTTTGGAGCTCTGATCCTGAGCCCCCCCCCCCTTACTCATCCAGATGGGGAAGATTGGATGGCAAGCTGACCTTTGCGCATCCTGATAAGCAGCTAAAGCCTTCCAGGTAACCTGCATCATTGACCTCCAGGTGCTTAGGTGGTAGCTTCAGTCCCCAGTAGGGTAAGGCTCTGCGAGTTCAGAGTCGCACTTGGAGAAAGGTATAATTTTAAGGCGGTTACAATTTGTGATGATATGGTTCCCTTGGAGGCTTGGTGCTGAAATGCAGGTCTGCACAGCTCCTACCAAGTTATTGCAATACATTGGCCTGCCTTTTTTTTTTCTTCTTCTGGCACACACCTTCAACGGCACACGTGCTCTGCTGCCACGCCACCTACAGGGAGCTGCACCACTATTGCTGCATTGCTCTCCTGGGTCACCTGTGGCCATTGAGTATCTTGACACAGGGCACCCTCTCACTACTGCCATGAGTTATTGTGGGGCGGTACAAGTAGGAAGGTTGACAAGTGTGGGGATACTTGGGCCGCACAGTTACATCTTGGCTTGGGTATAGGTTCTACTCTTTGGGGTGACAATGTATCAGTCCCTTGCTGGGCTCCCTGTCTACTTTTGCTGCTAACATCTGGGGCCACACCTCTTTTATGCCATCTCTAGACAGCAATTTTACCACTGTTATGGGAGATTTTATGGGGAAAACGGCTTATCTGTTAACATGGCCACTGTCAGAAGACTGGGGAAGAAAAGAGAAATAAGGTTTGCAAAGAATACAAAGCCGGCAATTATCCAGAAGTATGTGTTTGTAGATGGGCATTACTAAACATTTCTAAGGGTGTGTTTGTTGTTTTTTTTAAGATATGGGTGAAGGTCCAATTTAATGACACTGATTTAACCACTTACTGCCCAGAGCAATTTCTTACTATTTGCGCACACTTGATAAAATCTGAATTTGTGGCTAGAAAAGAGCTTCAGACCCCCCCAAAAATGATATATTTTCTCAAAGCAGAGGCCCTGTAGAATAAAAAAAAAATGCTAGTTGCAATTTTTGATGCCGCACGGTATTTGCGCAAATGTTTACCAAACAGTATTTTAGGATAAAATACACTAAAATGAAATTTAGTACACAAACAGAATATAATATCCAATTATTTGTAAAATATAAAAGACTGGGTCACGTTGGGTAAATAGATACCAAACATGTGAAGCCTTAAAATTGTGAAAAACAATGCCCAAAATTTCCCATAGGTGACACTTTATAAGCTTTTACTGCTCATGAGTTTAGTCTTAAGTGACTGTTGGTCCTAGAATTAATGCTCTCACTCTGATGTCCTCAGCGATATTTAACGGTGTTGCACAATTTTCGTTTATGCATGATGCATGTAGGTATATCCGACGCGCGTTTGAATGTATGTGGGGGTAGAGGACTTTGAATACATTTTCTTCTTGCATTTTTTTTCTTTCATTTTTACTTTTTTTTTTTTTTTTTAACACTGTATTGCTATTACTAATTGCAAATATGATGTGACTGGTCCCCTTTATGGAGATATCAGGGGTCTTTCAGACCCCTAATGTCACCTAGGTACCCCAAAGAAGCTGATGAAGCAGAGGGGTGGTGGTGAAGGGGGTGCACACTGTCCAAGCAATGCCGCTGAATCGCTTGCATCTAAACAGTCGTTACGGCTGTTTAAAACTATACAAAACACGACTGCAGCAGTATCCGTGTTCTTGGTATAAACACTTGAAGACCAAGACTTATTTTGACTGCGGGCGGTCCTGAAGCGGTTAAAAATGTCAACACGTCCCCCATCTCATTCTGTTCTCCTTAGGACAAAAGGTGGTAATCCTGGGGGCCAGTAGCCATAATTTATTTTTTGTATAGAATATATTTGTAGATCTAGAATTGTAATGTGGTTTTTGTACTTTCTTCCTTTCTTTCCTTTCCGTTTTTCCTTTCTTTCTTTCCAAAGATTATCCGTTTAACCTGTATCGTTGGATCATCTGCTAAACAACTGCTCCCATTAAAAAATGCAGGGAATATTTCTGCTCATTTGAAAGTTATGGTAAGTGTTCTCCAGTTTCTCATTTTTGTAACTGGAGTTTACTGTTTAATTAAAAAATGACATTCATTGTGGTGTTAATCATGTCGTTCTTCTGCAAAGTGTCCAAATGAAGATGGGTTTTCTGTAGACCCTGAAGATTTGTTCCTTGCACCAGGAGAAGAACAAATAGTTGCAATTAAGTTCTCTCCACGTCATTCAAAAACAAAGCAAAGGTATGCTGATTAAGTCAAATATATTTTGTTTCTCCTATAGCATTTTGTGTCTTATTACTTGTCACTTCTTCTTTTTTTTTTTTCCCTTAACCACAGTACCTTAAAAATAATGGTCCAGCCATCAGGTCCACAGTACGAAGTGATGTTGGTTGGAGACATGGAGTCTTCAGGAAACACAAATTCCACTGCCATAAGTTATTCAGATGTTCCCTCAATTCTCTCCAACAAGCAGTTCATAGCATGGGGAGGAGTTGGTGTTGGAAGAGCAGTGTAAGTCTTTACCTTAATGGCATAAGGCAGATTCATCTTCTGGTAAATGTTGGGGCTGTGACGTTACCAGCTAAAGTAATACTCTACTGAAAGTATAGTGATTGGCAGTAGTTAAATGGTTAATGCTTCAATAACATTGTTAAAGGAAACACAGACTGAAATACGTATGCTGCCATTGCTAACGTCTATTTGGAAAGCTTGTTGCCTGGCTGTCATACCAATCCAGTGGCTTCAGTACCTTCTGAGTCACAAGCCAGAAACATGAATGCAGATCAGGAATTTGAACTTCAGTGGCTGCTAAGGAGTTCCAGGTCAGTGATTGACAAAATATGAGTCAAAGGAGTATTATCACAGCCATGACAATTAGGGCTGCAACTCATGATTATTTTTATAGTCGATTAGTTGTCTGAATATTTTTTTAGCCAGCCTGCTATTGGCCATTTCAAATTTCAATAGCAAGCTGGCTATTGCGCTCGCCCACTACTTGCTGTGCCCTCCTCCCAGCATGGAGGCAAGAGCTAGTGGATCCACCCAACTAATCGATGACTAGTAGTTGACTATTTTCATTATTCATTATCGACTACTTGGTTGCAGCCCTAATGACAATAGCATGTGCAGAACAAAGTCTGCAATTGCATCTTAAAATGCAGGTTTTCTTTATGCAACTAAGATTTTTTTTTTTTTTCTTTTTCTTCAAGAAATGTGTGTTTTTTTTTTTAATTTTTTTGTTTTTGTTTTTTTTCACAGGCAGCAAAAATTGATACTAAGGAACATGTCAGCAACTGCAAGCCAGCAGCTTCGTCTCATAATAAGGGGTCAGGACCAAGACTGCTTTCAGGTATTTTTCTTCGATTTTTTTCTCTTCTAGAATTCTTGACTGTGAATTGCTATATATTATATGTATTGTCAAACAATGTGTGGGTTGGTAGCAGTCACTGTGTAAAGTATGTGAATATCAGGCTAGCATCTGAACTGCAAAGAGGGGGTACATTTAACGTTTTGTCAGAACTTTTGGTGCAGATGTACATATATAAACTGAGACCACTGTGTGTTGCTATTTAGGCTTTTAAAGGGTGGTTGTCCATTCTTAATAGTAGATGTGCATGTCTGCTGGACAAAGATTCATGTTGGCTGTATTTTGTCATAAATAGGATGGCTATGTGAATATTCACGTTAAAGTACATGAACATGTAGGCTGCCATTCTTCTGCAGAAAATGCAACGTGTTTGGCTTTTGAGATAATCTAATAGCTGCATTGACCCAGAACATGTATTCTGATTAGGGGTTTAGACTTCACTATATGTATGCTTATTCCTAGCCAGTGGGGAAAAACAAAAAAACAGCAAAAACCAGGGACATCGAGGCAACCAAACGTCAGTATTGGACTCCTCCATATTTCTCTCATGGTTTTCCTTTTACTGTTGGAATAATCCATCACTACTGTAAAATTGTGAGCAGTTTTCATTTTGGAGAATGTTGTTGGTTTTAATTTTGCATTTTAAATCTAAAGTCTTTATCCTTAGGATTCATGTTAGGTCCCATGGATGTCTCGACTCAATGGGTTGTACTTGTTAAGTAACATTTGACCCTTACCAATTGAACACACTGACCGATTGTATTGCATACAAAATTTGCTCACCGCATATTCAATTCAATATGCAAAAAAAACCCCGCAAGCTATACTGCAGCACAGCACTATTTTTCGTAATAGTTCTATTAAATCTAGAAAAGTGTATACTAGCCTTAGTAGTAAACTTCATGATATATATATATATATATTTTTTTTTTTCCTCCTGTAGTTGCAAAGTACATTCGGATCAGAACAACGTTTGACAAACAATCTTGAGCTCACAATTCGTCCTAAGGAGGATTCGTCTGTCCACTTGATGTTTTCTCCTACTCATATAGGCTGCATGTTGGCTAAGCTGGAGATTAAACAGTCCGGAATTAAGTCTTCACAACCAGGCATCAAATTTACTGTAAGTCTGTGGTTAAACTGTATGGTTTGCTTATGTGTGCTCATGTGGGACCGTTGCTTTCTGTTGGCATTCTCCTGGATTTAGCACAGCTTGAGACCAACTGCACTGTCTTTGCATATATTTCACCGACGTCCGCTGTGTTTTATGACCACTGCCAAATGTAGGTTTATGCATATGAATTAAGAGTTAATTAGCCTCAAATGGGACCCTTGTGCACATTAGATTTTACTAAGAGATGCATGAGATCTATACAGAGCATCAGAACAATTATGTGAGTTATACTAAATGCAGACTATAGCTTTCAGGTCTTGGTGACTTCCCAGAATAGGGAAAGGCAAAGAGAAGGATTTCTTAAAGCTTGAGTGCATACCAGGCTTTAGGCCCCATTCACACTAAGCGACACTTACCTCGAGCGGATCCGCGTGGCCTGGATAGCGCAACTTTTCGGGTGACGTTCCGGCGACCTTGAAAAAGGGTCCTGCACAAGCGACTGGCATCATGGAGCTGTACAATGGAACAGCTCCATTGAAAATCATTGAACGGTGACTTCTTGCGATATTGCGCTGCAAATATAAGTGATATTGCAGCCGAAATCACGCAATTAAATGCCAAATGTGAATGGCCATATAAGCTACTACAAAATTTGCTGAAGCTGTCATATCCAGGTAAACCAATGAAGCAGGAGCTCCACTTAAGTGTCTGTTCTGGATCCTCTTTCTTTAGAGTAGTTGGATGAGCCCTTTAACCCCTTCGTGACTGACGACGTACAGTGTACGTCGCCAGCATCGGGGCTGTTTAAACAGACAGAAAGCCTTCAAAACTGATGCAGACCACAATGTGATCTGCTATGGAGCAATAGTGCACAAAAGATACTCCTGGAGTAAACCGTAAATCCTAGTAGGGCACTTAAAACGTGGTGAAAGATATGAGTCATCAGCAATTTTTTTGAGAAGGGAGTATTTTTGCTTAGTGGCTATATCGAAACCGGGGAAAAACAGAATTTAAAGTAATCAAACATGGGATTTAAATATGCTATAAGACCATTTCTTGATCCAACTCCAGACAAGCTGTATGTAGTCCAGATTTATCAGGCTTTTCTCTGGGCATTAGGAAGGGCTTTAGTTATTTCTTTGTTTGTAGTCTTTATATTTGCCGCGTCTGATCTTCACATTGTTTTGTGTAGGGGTGGCAGTAGGTAGTACAAGGCCACCTGAAATGCTAACTGCAGGAGGGGCTATGAGGAGAGTAAAGTTTCTCAGGGGCAAAGTCTTTAACATGCTCATGAAACTTCCAGTGTTCCAGAAAAAAAAGGAAATTAGGGAGGGGCGTTTGTATTTACACCACCAGCATGGTCTCACAGCTTCAGAGATGATGTGCTAAGTAAAACGGGTAAACTGCAATATACTTTATGGCCACAGTGGCTTTTTATTTGAACTCTATAATGAAATACAGAAGCCCTAAGCAAGTCATTTATATCACATGTATAGATGTTGTGTACCTTTTTTAAATCTGTCTTGTTGGCCTTTGAGTTATGTAATACGTGACTAAAGCATGGTAACTTACACTGAAGGTTTTTTTTTTTTTTTTCTCCATTTTAGATTCCACTATCTGGCTATGGAGGCACGAGCAATGTAATACTTGAAGATGTGAAAAAGTTATCGGACAGCTGCATGGTGACACTAAATGGTGTATTGCCTGGTAGAATAAGCAAAGCAAGCTTCTCTATCAGGAACACAGGCTCCAGAGCTGCTTATGTTAAAGCCGTCTGCTTTCTTAATGTAGAGAAAAATATTGTTGTGGATTCAAACGTGCTTTTTGTGACTCCAGATAAGTTTATTCTGAAAGAAGGATCACAAGAGGTAAAGCTACTGGACACGTTGAGCCTATCGCTGTATTTTCTTAACAGGCAGCTGTTCTAAACTAGTATCGAACAGCCCCCAAGAGATTCAATATAGAGCACCGCTCACCTAGCAATTTGTTATATATTAGTTGATCACCCCACCTTCTCCTTTACAAGTATTCAGATTTATTAGCTTTCAATTCTTTTACCTTACAGGTTTCTTGCCCCTCTTTCTATTTGTAGTCCCATTGCAAAATTGTTTTTCTTTTTGGAGTTCTTTACTGAGTTTCTTTTTCATAAACCATATTTTTCCTCATTTGTACACGTGTTTGCAATAGAGTGGAAAATCCTTTTAGAATTTACAGTTAAAGCTTGCATTTTTGGTCAAATATATTGTAAATGTTGTCTTGTATTTCACTTTAAATAGATAGTTACAATATCCTACAAGGCAGTAAACCAAGAGACATGTCATCAGCTGAACAAGTTATGTACAGTATGTTTTTTCTGCGGTGATGAGGTATCCCGACAGCAGTTTCGCAGGTAAGATTTTTAATTCAGTTTAATTGCATGTATTGATCATGCCTTGTTTAAAAAATGTCACCTGGTCAGGAGGTTGTTTATTTTGTTTTTTAATCAGATTTGTCAGGAAACCTGTTTTGCATTTAATATGGCATTCTGTTGCTTATTATTTTGTGTCGGATGAGAGGTATAACTGTATACACATGAGCGATGTTTAATCCTAGCTTGTAAACACTGAAGGGTTATTGGCTCTGACAAGCATTCAACTTATTTCAAGTAGCTTTCTTGGTGTGCTAAAGTGCAATCCGGCTCCACACTGGGAGTGTAGTTTGTCTGGAAATATCCGTGATTGGATATTTCAGTTCCACTCTTGACAAACCTAAAAATCACTCTGCAATGGTGGCAGTCATATTCCTTCCTTAATGTCTGGAATAGTGGAAATTGTATTTTAACAGGAGTTTCCTATAGAAATCCCACACTTGCTGTCAGGGCTGCAGCTGTTGACAGTTGTGTGGCATCACTATTTTTTACATAACATAGAGTACACATAATCAAGAGAAAAGCTGGGAAGTGTAAATCATGCACGTGTATATGGGAAATGTGACCTAATTTATAAAATACCAAAGCACTGGAAATAATACTAAATTTTGAGTTTTAAAATTCACACAATTATAGAACACAGACAACACAGATATTATGGGATTGAGATTTCTGGTAGGGATGCACCAATACCGTACTCGCCCAAATGGTCCAATGCCTAGCACGACACTTCCGGTATCGGGAAGCCGGGCAGCGAGTCATTACACGCTGCCTGGCTTTCTGATTGGCCGGGAAGCCGGCTCCATGCTCCCTCGTTACCTGGTGACGAGAAGCATGGGAACGGCTTCCCTGCTAATCGGAAAGCCGGATGTCGAGTCATTACACGCCGCCTGGCTTCCTTAATGGGACTTACAATATCGGTATTCGGTATCGGCGAGTACGGGGAAAAAAATATATCGTTACTCGATACCGAAATACCGGTATCGGTGCATCCCTGATTTCTGTAATCTTTGTTGGTGGTAAGCAAATGATAAAAATGTTCATATTGAATGTTTAACGCATTCTGAGCCTTTGTAAGAACTTGGGACTGTTGGGGTGGGGGCTGTAGTTACTGTGCAGTCTTCACTGTGAAGAGAAGCACCTATAGCTCATGAGGAAATGGTGCTCTCTCAATCTTTTCCATGGTCAAGGTTTCCATATTACTTGCTGGATGAATTATGTTGTGCTGCAACTAGGAAGGATCCCAATAATGTCGGGATCCACTCCGCTGCCTGACAGCTGACTCTGCTTATCAAGGCAGAGCCAACTGTGCCCGCCCTTTTCACCATCCGTCCCTCCAGTCGGAGCGGGGATGGAGAGGAGGGGGTGGAATCCCTGGTGGGAGTGAGGACTGAGTCACCGCTCTCTGCAGGGAGAAGATCAGAAACTGAGCCATCAGCGGTTTGTGATCACTAAGTTATCGATCTATAGAGCCGAAGTGTGATAGCTGCAGTGTCACATGCCGGCTCAAACTAGAGAGCATTTCACTCTCCCCATAGTTCTCCTAATAAATATTTTGTAAACGTATAACAAATATGTGTTTGACAAATCTGTTGCTCTACTGACTGTAGTTCACAGGTATAACACAACCATGCAGTGTCAAAGGATTATTCCAGTTTAGGTGGATTTTAGGGTCCGTTAAAAGGACCCCAGATTCTCCAAAGCATAACTCTTGCAATTTTTACAATATAGTATACAATGTACAATATCAGCAATTTGTGTTTTCATTGAAATTACATTTCGAAAAACACACTGGATTTGCTTGGGTTCTTTTTGGTTGTTTTATATGCAGCTGTAAACTATATTTGTCTTTTTTTTTATTTATTGTATATGAAATTGTGATAAATGTGTACATGCTTATTTTGGTAAAATATTTTCCATGACCTCAGGGCAGTACTATACAAGCCAGAAGTGGCCCAAAAAGTAATTGCAGAGTTTTCAAAGTTAAGGAATACAAGATTTGATGAAGAGTTCCCTGGTGAGCAGCTGGTCTGTGAAGGTAAAAGAAAATTAATTTTATTCAGTACAATTGTAAGGTAGAAGCTTTATAGTACATGTCAGTTATATATCAGTCTTCTTCTTTTATTTATTTTTTTACTATCCTGGCAAGCGCTTTTATAGAAAATGACATTGCATAAGGCGCCTGCACTTCAGCCCTGTATTTTAGGTGCCTTTTAGGCCAAATCAGCTTCACTTCCAGCTTTATTTGCAAAGTATAACTTTGTCACAAAGCATATGCTTTCAGATGAATTCAGCGGAGTCTGTCACACATATGTGCTAGTCCAGGGCTCAAAACTTCCACTCGCCCCCTCGCAATTTGCGAGTGAAAATTGCGAGGGGGCGAGTGGAAATGAAGCCATTGAGTCAGACACTCAGTCATGGACCGAGTGCCTGATGCCCGATGACTTGCTCCTATGCTTCTGCTCACAGCCATGCATCTTCCCATATTAAAGATGGCTGCATGACGGCAGCCATCTTTACTAAGGTCTGTTCTTGTATCCTAGCAACAGCATAACTTCCTGCCTGTGCACCGAGGATTATGGGAGCTGTAGTTCCACTTTACAGCGCCACCGTGACAGCAGTGGGTGAGTGTGTCACATAGGGGGTATTGGGTTAGGTTTTATTGCTGCGGTTCTGTGTGGGTGGCCGGGCACTGCCTCTTTAGGGGACCCTGGTCTGTCATGTGCGGGAGCAGTGCTGAGAACAGGAAGCAGTGATAGAGCTGGTGAGAGATGCTGCTCATCCACATTATCCACACTCTGTACCGATCTGGGCACTCGAGGGCCTCTGCTAGGGGAGGCAGAAAGGGGCTAGCTATATTAGGATGAAGAACACTATGATAGAACACTAAATTAATGGACGTCACAATACAGGGGAAGCCCTGGGGTGAACTGGCAGACCATGGGAGGGGCTCCAACAGCTTACTGTGCCACAGGTCCCCTTCATGCAGCCTGAGCTGCAATAACTATGCATGGGACCAGAGTTGGTCCCAAGTGTCAGGCCCCTGCCAGCAGGTAATTGAAGGGGATCGGTTGGGGTGCCATGTGTGTGTTGTGGGTGAATGTGCATGTGTAATGTCCTGTGTTCGTTGTGCTGTGGCTGCATGTGCTATGTCCTGTGTTCGTTGTGCTGTATGTGTAATGTGCTGTGGCTGCATGTGTAATGCTCTGTGCATTGTGTTCTGGCTGCATGCGTAATGTCCTGTGTGTTGTGCTGTGGCTGCATGTGCAATGTTCTGTGCGTTGTGCTGTGGCTGCATGTGTAATGTCCTGTGCGTTGTGCTGTGGCTGCATGTGTAATGTCCTGTGCGTTGTGCTGTGGCTGTATGTGTAATGTACTGTGCCCCGTGCGTTGTGCTGGTGTGTGTTGTGCCCTGTTTGTGTTTGTTTGCGTTATGCAGGGCAACTAGTGGCAAGCAACTTTTCAGGCCTGGCTAGTGGCTCATGACCTGAAATTTTGAGCCCTGTGCTAGTCGTTCCTGCAGACTAGGAATGTCCCTGACCAGGGTCACACTGCAAAGAACATGGAGGAATGGTGGGTTTATATAGGTATTTGTAATTCCAGAAATGAAGAGCCCAATGATGAGTGCATTTAGTTATGTAGGAGGCTGGGTGCAGTGAAATAATGAGCTGGCTCTAATGTCACATTTACAAATCTCTAATAGAAATAACAAAAGGAATGGAATGCATAGTAAAATGTGCATGCCCCATCAAAAGGTAAATGGTGAAGTCATAATATAAAATATGTGCATGCAAAATATACACTCACACTGTCTGATTATTTGTTTTTAATTACCAGTCTATGATTTGCCACAAAGACCAAATGATATCCAACTTTTCTATGGAAATATGCGCAAAATCATGCTGTCTGTTGTTGAAGGAACTGATGTTAACATGGCTGGAACATCTATTCAACCCTTTCTAGGCACTGGCTTGGGCAGGTAAGAAGTGTCACATGCCTTCATAATGGTCAGTCTGTTTAATGTGATAAATAAAGGATCTGTGAAATGTGAGCTGACATTTATGCAAATGATAGTATCTGTGAGTGTAAAATCTTCCACAAAAGGTTGTGTGTGTTGCCATATTGCAACACCCCGTCCAGAGTGAATCACCTGCCATCAACAGTTGGCTTTCTAAATGGGTAGGATTTTGAGAGCTTTGGATAAAATAAAATGTTTCCTTGCAATTCACAAAGCTATAACTGGTGTGATAATGATCAATATTATCAGATATATCACTTTTATTTTCAGCTCTCATTACTAAAAGTAAGGGGAAATGTTTCTTATAGTTTTGCGAATTAAGCCTGTAGTCATTAAAGTATATGTAAACCCGAACTAAATGACATTAGTTAACTCGTTTTGCATCATAAACATTTGTCATGTTTACTTTTCAAATTTTGGATTTCACCTTTTCTTGCATTTTGCAGCCACTTCCTTTACATGTATGAACTAGGGATGTTAAGATACCAGTGCCGATACTTGGCATTTTCACAAGAACTACCAGGGTTGCAGCTGGGACCTGGCTCTGGCACTCCACCACTGTCCTGAAATCATTAGTCTGTATTGTTTTAGAAACTGTCACATGACATTAAACAAAAATGTATCAGTACTTGAAAAAATGGTATCGGTGCATCCCTTATACTGTATATATTTTTTTTAAATCATACATTAAAACAGGGATTCACAAATCCCAGGAGCTCCGTATGCTCCTTAAAATTGACAGCTGCCTCCTAACCTTTGAATTTTTCTCTAGTCTTGTCTTGGAGCTGGAAAAGTATCTGTACTTGTACCGAGTATGATACTTGTACTGAGTACGGTACTTGGTATCTGAACATCCCTAGTATCAAACTCCAAGAACTTCTGCACCTCACTTCTCGGGTGGTGGTGACAGCAGTGGAACATGCCTGTGCAGTGTGCTCCAGTACTGCCCTTGTCTCAGTTGGGTGAGTGACAAGGTGTTAATGAAGGGCAACAATTGGAGACAGGGCATTGTCACCTAATATCAAGTATAGGCCACGAATAACAAGCTATTTCAAAAAATAAAATAAAACCCACCCGGGGCATATGTAATCTTAACCCTTGCAGCGTGGCTTGTTTTGTCTAGGGACCTATGATAGACATACACATCTGAAACTTGGACATGGCTGATTTTTACACCGTTCCATGCAGCCTCTTTACCTTTCGCTCTGGTGGTCTAAGAACCCGTGAGTCATCACGTCCAGTAGATTGTATTGGACATGAGGACTCTGCAGAACTTTACATTGCAGGAGCAGAGGGACTGCCGGGACCGGTCTAGCAGCCAACTGAGGTTTGGGTGAGTATATATCAGTTTTTTTTAGCACCTAGACTAAAAGAACGGGTTAGCCGCACTGCAAGGGTTAAGACTTCATATGCCCAGACTTCAACTTTGAAATAGAACATTTCCACACTTTTTTTGTTATTACTACTGGATTTTAAAATGACTTTATGAAGCATGTTGAGGAGAATGGATCCATTCCTGGCTGTCCATGGTACCTTTTCATGCAAAATGAGATTTCTGCATCAATGCAATATTTTTGTACTTTAACACATGATCATAATTCTGTTACTAAACCATTAAACAATAACATTATGAAAGCTAACATTTATGCACATTTTATGAATTAGAGTTTTTTTCCCTGTTTTTGTGTCTTATTTTTATTTTAGAACTACTGAAAATACTCAAAGCACTAGAAACACGTCATTGGACGTTCTGCCTGTTAAAGGCCCTCAGGGACCTCATCTGTCAAATGCTGATGTATCTTTAAGAAGTGGCAACAAATCTGAAAATACATTTATTGTGCAACCAGGGTGTCTTCAGTTAACTACAGGTTTGTGCCATGGCTATGTGATGTATTGCTGCCATAAAGCATTTCTTCTTTTTTGTAAGTTAAAGGAAAATTTAAAGCCTCTAGCAAGCAGTAGGTATATGCAAAAAGTGTAAAAAAAAACAAAAAAAAAACCCCGCTTTGAAAAGGGTTACTACTTACCTGTGTCTTCCCTGCGCGCTCCCGTCCAAAAATGTGAAAATTCTCAGGCGGCCTCAAAGCATCTTGGGGCGGGCGCATGCGCGGATCGCATTTTTGGCCGGGACGCGGGCAGAGACACAAGGGAAGTCTATGGACGCGTGCACCCGCTTGCAGACAACGTGGGACAGGAAGTACCAGCAAGCTCAGAGGAGTCGGCGCTGGATCGGACCGATGAAAAGGACAAAGTAGAAGATCGGACTAAAACATTATGTAAGGTAAGTGCTGACATTAACATTGGGGGGAGGGAAAAACATTTTTGACTTTAATGTCACTTTAAGTTATGGCATTATCTATTATCATGTTCATCATCATTTGGGGTTTTTCTCCAGTCGTGTTCTACCATAAAGCATTTAGTTTTTGTATGATAATTGAGGTTTTTTTTTTCTATAGACAAGTTCCTTTTTTTTTTTTTTTTTTTTTTTCCCCAAAAAGTCTCCAGCCCTGAAGTGTGCACAGGTTTCTTGCCAGAAGTGAAACTTTCTAATGTTGGATTTCTCCATGTAAGACAACGTAAAATTGCCCTAAAGCCCATCTAAGAGTTTGGGACGCCCTGCTTCCTTTCCTCTGGCGGGGTGGATCCTAAATCCTGCAGAAAGAAGCACCACTTAAACATGATATGGCTCCACTCTCTGCAGCATCCTCCTAGGAGACCTGATGATACACCCACAGAGGGCGCACCCTTGATGCCCTGGGCTATCAGGAAGGGGGTTTAAGGGTGCTGCAAATCATTCAAAACAAAGGAGATGCTGTGTTGAATTATAGAGCAGACAGTTTGGTGGTGCCAACTCCAAAACCCAAATGAATAACTTTATGTAGTTAATAAAATTATTTTTGTTTTATGCAGCCAGTGATAAGTACCTTTTATTTGACATGATGTTGGCTTTCTATAATCCCCTGTGCAGCACCACTAAGGCAAGGAGAGGCCGTATTAGTAGCCAATCAGGTGTGCTACAGTGAACTTGTGCTTGGGGGGAAAAAAAACAGAAGGCAATAAGAGGATGGACAGAGGAAGGAACTAGACAGTATGCAGCTTGTCAACACTGGCCAATCAAGGGCTGTATTTCCTTGAAGTTGAATTCCAGCCAAAAATAAATGTAGTCTATTAAAAGATACAATATGCAACATTTGCTGTAATATCCAGCATCAATCCAGAGATTTCCTCTGCAGTACTATTTTTCTTTGGCCAGATGTCCTCGGTCTGATGTCCAGGATCAGTCAATCCAATTCCTCTGAACCAGGGAGGTCCTGGACATACCCTAGTCTGATACTGAGCAGTAATTGTAGAAACAGCACAGTGACAACCTCATCTGTCACTCTGCTTTTTCCTTTCATTACTCTTGAATGAACATGATGAGCTCCTTGTACTGCTTTTTCCACTCGCACTCCAGCTGTGCTATGCAGGGACTGCAAGAGGCTTTTACCAGTTTTAGGATCCCAAATCCTGCAAGAACATGGTCCTGCTGTAGTGTCCTCAAGAATTTGGGTCCTGAGATTCCACAAAAGCCTACTGTGAGACTCCGTGCAGCCACACATGCAGTACTTGAATTTTTGGCCATTTTCCACTTTAATAAGCAACAGTGTAAATGAATCCTGACCCATTTGAGCTGACTTTATGTTCAAAAAAGTAATATATTAAGAACCACTTGCTCTCCTTGATGATATGCTGTTTTCTCCCATTCTATCCCAGATGGGTTTGCTGGAACTGGGCAAGTACAGATTCACAACAAGTCTTCAAAATTATTAGAGTTTGATTTATCCTGGCCACCTCACTGGCTTACAGTAACACCACAGCATGGGAGCATTGATCCACAGTAAGTCCTGCTGCCTTTTTAATGTTTTTATATTTTCTTTTATTTTATATTTAATTTTTAAAATATACATTTCAATATTTTTCTTCTGTTCTAGGAGTCACACACTAATACTTGTAAACCCAAACCCATCTTTGTCCAAAAAGCAGATTGTGCTTCCTTGGAATGGTCATATCTATGTGCATTGTGATAATGGACAAAAGGTAGAGTTGTTTAACCCAAACTGTATTTTAAAGAGCAGGTGGTATGCCTCAGCGTATTCTTTGCCATAAAATTTTCTTGTACATCATAGAATGTTAATTCTGGAACCAATGAGTTATGCAGCTGGCTTCAATAGCTTATAGCTGGGCTTTAGGAGCCCAGCACTGACAGCTATGGGACCGGAAGTGAATCAATCTGCCCATAGAAGGGGGGGTGGGGGGGCCGACTAACTGAGTTTCGTCCATCTCCTCCCCAGCTTCCCGCCAACACTGAAGAAGCCAGTCCCGTAGGAGGGGCAATGGAGCCCGGGAAACACAGCGTGGGGGGGGACCCCTTCACCGGGCCATAGAAGCTATCTGGTGACAGCTGAGTCGCCAGAATCGCTTCTACTGTAAAGCCGACCGTTTTAAGGTAGATTTTTATAGCCTCGGGGGCTGGCAGGATAACCCCCTCAATGGACTCAGAAAAGAAATTTACAGCGAGTTAAAAAAAAATTTTTGTCTTTAAGACTTTAACCATTTTATCAACTATTTTTGCCTGCACACGTTTGTTTTCCTTCTATTTACTGTGACTTTTAACTCTGACATCTGTCTTTATTTACTGTCACAGATGGTTAAAGTGCAAATAATTGATGGCACTGCAATGGATGGGCCTAGAGATGGAGGCCGAAAATCCCTTCCAATGCTTGCACCCCGCCTGGAGACCCCAGTTCATGTTGCAAAACCTCTCCCTAAAACTCATTCAGCTGTACTTGAATTAAAGAATCGTACCCTTGTATTTCCCAAAACAGCGGCTGGAGAAAGCTCAGGTAAACTTTAGTTACCAGACAGATGTCTATTGTGATCAGAGAAACACATTTTGTTCTCTGCATTCGTCATACAGATTAAAACAATTTTATAGGACAAGCAAAGCTCCATAGACGTTCAAAACCACTTGCCTAGATAGGTGATTTGTTTCCTAATGTTTAATAAAATTATAGTTCCCTTACATCCTGTGATAAATGTTGCCTCACCTGTTGATTTTTTTTTCCCTATTCACCCAGATGCCTGAAAAGTGCCTTTTCTTCTTATCATTCTTCTTCTTTTTTTTTTTTTTTAACCACCTATTGGGAACTTGACAGTTCGCAAAGCAACTTGCACTTTATAACTGTACTTTTTTCTTAATCTGTTTCTCTGACCCCATGAATCTCTTAGTATTAATGTGCATGTTCACTTCTTCCCAGGTCAGTGCAAAACCCTTCCTCATTACCATTTAATAGTCCAAGACTAGACAGACAATTTTCAGTAGAGACAACTGGACTATGCAGAGTGGGGATGGGCTTATTGCTGGCTTGGGAAGAATTTCACCATTAGTGTACAGTCTGGGCACCGGAACCAGGGACACAAATACAAAAAGCATTTGGGCTCTTGTTTTATGACTTCTATATGGCTGTATGTGCTTTAAAGTAATGTTTTAGGTTGTATTAGACTAATATGGTTGACCATTATATTAGTGAAGTTGGAAATTAATTTGCAGTAGAGCCACCTAATCAGCTGTTTCTTTTATTTCTTTAGAAACCTTTTTGGAAATGGAGAATCCAGGTGATGAAGACGTTAAATGGCATCTCTCGTCATTTGCAGCCCCCTATGTAAAGGCATGTTGATGAATATTGCATAATCTTTGACCTAAATACATTATATTTTCCAAAAGCTACATGGATATGGAGAACCCCAAAAAGAGTGGATTTCTCAACCCTATATTTAAACATATGCCAAAAATGCAATTCCTTACATAGTTTTCCAATTAAAGGAGAACTATGGGGTTAGGGCTTTTCCCCATAGTTCTCCTTAGGGCAACGGGAGGATACAAACTAGCGTCCTCCCGTCACCCTAGGCTCAGTGTACCGCGAGCTGTAGCTCGAGGTATACCGAGACGCCGCAGTATACCGCGAGCAGCTGCTCGAGGTATACTGAGACGCTGAAGCGGATCCCGACAATTATGCTGGGATCCTCCCAGCTGCGTGACTGACAGCTGGCTCTGCCTATCTAGAGGCAGAGCCAGCTGTACCCTCCCCCGTCCGTTCCGCCAGTCAGCGCTGGCGGAGCAGGGAGGGGGGAATCCAGCCCCTCCCCTGTCACGGCAGAGAGCCGTGACAGGATCGAGAGGTGAGCGAACGCCGGTATGTGTTCGCTCACCTCCTGATCTACTGAGCCGACCTGTGACAGTCTCATTGTCACAGGTCGGCTAGTACTATGAGGTGAGTGAAAAGCACTCGCCTCATAGTTCTCCTTTTTAAAGCCTACGTGTCCTTACTAGGACCACAAAAGAAAACAAGTTCCCACTAATAGGACATCAAAAGAGGTTCAAGTGGAAAACACCATCATAATAAAAAAAAAAAGTATATTATACATCTAATTTATTTATTTAGAAATATGAATATTCATAGAAAAAAAATGCAGAAGTATCTACACAGCCCCCCTCCCCCAAGGACACAATTACTCAAACAAACTTATTTTTGGAACCTCATTGAGCCATTACACTTTTTTGAAGGGGGGGGGGATTGTTTGTGTAATTGTGTGCTTGGGGAAGGGGGTATGTAGACACGTCTGTGTGGTTTTTTTAATGAATATTCAGATTTGTAATAAAGTTATATTTATAGTTTACTTTTTTTGCTACAATTGTGTGTTTTCCACTTGAACCTTTTTTGACGTCCTGTTAGTGGGAACTTGTTTTCTATTAGATTTACCAAACTAAGGCATTTATATTCATTTCTAGAATATTGTTACTTATCTGTATGCAATTTTTTGCTTCAGGGAGTTGACCGCAGTGATGATATTTATCGGGCCACTTACACAGTTTTCAGGTGTGCCAGAGTTTCTGGTGCGCTTGCAGCACATGACCGGTTGAAGGTAACAAGAGTGTTATGCTTTTCTTAATTCCTGGTTATGGTACATGGATATTTACCTGTTTTTATTTTATATTTCTGTAGGTAGCAGTTACTTTCTTCCCTAAAGAACAAGGTGACTATACCCAGTTTTGGGACCTCGAATGCCATCCAATATCTGAACCACATTTAAAGCATAAAGTGAGATTTCAACTGTGTGGAGAAGTAAGTAGAAGGAATTTGCTTTAAAGCCCATGGACAGGACGAATAAATGCGTTTTTGTAGTTATGTCAGTAATTTTCAGTGCAGTATTTCTTACACGGTCATCATAAACTCTGTGAAAAGCTGTTGGGGTCGGCAAGCCTTTTTAGTTTGATGCATGACATTAACATGCTGAAATAGTAAAGTGATTTTAGAAGTGGGAGTTTTTTTGTTTTTTTGGGTGAAGGAGATGGTTTGGGCACTTTTTCTTGCCAGTTATAAAGAATGTGTTATTCCCCTGCACTTCTCTGGCATTTTGTATGAAAACTGCAGGCTGATCTAATGCATTAGGGTTTTCTGTCTGCTGTATGATCAAAAGCATGGCTAACAGTTTGCTTCCTCCACAGGGTATGATGGATGAAAGTGCGTCAGTGAGAGTTTCTAATGAGTCTTTAGTAAGGTCAGAGGCTCCAGTTCATCCAAGAAGAAGATCTGGCTCTGAAGCGTCTTCATTGAGAGCTGTGTATGTAGTAATAACTTGATTTGTGAAATGGATGTTTAGGATTCCATGTAATGCTTTTTACAGATGTTTATTTTAACATTGTATATGAAGGCAGTGTTGCATTCCTGCTGTGCCACTTTGATTTTGTGTTTTCTCTGCTACAAATAATTGTTTTACTCTGCTTTTATTTAATGCAGATGGAATGTTTTTAACTCCTTGTATTTTTATTCCCAGACAAGATGCGACCGCAAGGGGAGTTTTTGCATCAGAACAGTTATACACTTTTCCTCCTACACCAGTTGGTGAATCCAGTACATTAAAAGTAAACTTAAAAAATAACTCTTTTACAACATACATGGTAAGTTTTTTTTTTTGGGGGGGGGGGGGGTTCTTCAAATAAGTAACATGAAATGAACATAAGTGTTGAGATTTAAATAGAGAAGAAATATTAATTGTACATAAGAGGACACATGTTGATATTAAGGAACATAGGGTTATGCTGCCCCCTTTAAGTGTTTGGACACTGGCAAAGAGAACAGCCCTGTATAACTCCTCCCACAACCAGCAGGCTCTGTTTTTTGCTAGTGTTCTTCAATAAAGGACATCTCTCAACTCTAACAGAAGCAAAATCTTTTTAATTTTACCAAGATCTTCTTCTTTTTTTTTTCTCTTTTAGGTTTCTTCAATTGCAGAGACCCTAAGGCTAATTTTCTAGCTCTTCGGATCGACTGATCCGTGGCGTAGCCTTGGAAGGCCATACATTGACCCTGCTGGGCCTGTAATATATCTTTCATGCACTGGACACTGCATTAGGTGACCACCCATCAGTACCAGAGGTGCAACGACTGCACTTTCCCTGAAGTTTTAGTGTGAAAAACAGTTTTTAATCTGGTGCCATTTCTGTCCCAGGGGCAGTGGTACCACGGTTCTAGTTGGCTTATGATCCACCTAAAGTATTTGGGGGGGGGCGCTTTCATTGTACACTTAAACGCACTTTATGTTGAAAGCCTGGTTTTCTTTCCCTTGCCTAAGTCACAACACTTGAGTTTTCTTTAACCTTTCCTGGTGGAGTTCCATCCTCTGTTTTATCCAGGGAGGAATTTAATGCTACTCTGTCTGAGTTTATTGGAAACATTTTAAATATAATAGCCAATTGAGAACACAACAGCCTCAATGAGAATTTCTCTGATCTTTCTGCAATAGCTGCATTCTCCACTAGATCAGCTGCTGTTGCTAAAGAGGCCTAATGGTAACCTCCTTTGAGGCAGTACCTTATGCCCATTGTGTGGGACCAGAAAGCGAAGTCTATGGACCAGCACATTCGCCCACATCTCAAAGCTCAGACAGGCAGATCACATTCTGACTTAGGGTTAACTTGACATACCAGCCCTATGCGCAGTCCATATTCCAGGTGTGGAAAATTGGCATGTGTACTTCCTCCAGTCAACGGAGTGGTCTCTTTCCTTGCAGATACTTTTAAAAACCTTTAGCACAGATAGGGGATGCCAGACGTGGACCTCCTAGCTTCCAGGGTCAATAACAAACTGGAAAGGTTCATGTACAAATCCAGGGACTCCCTGGTCCAGCCTCATCTACATTTTCCTTCTCTAAGGGCCCATTCACACCACATCCCAATTACCACTAGACTGTTTCCGGACCCAAAATGCATTCCAATGTATCCCTATGCTATTTCTGGCCTCTGTTCCCACCAGCGCAGTCCGTTCTAGACCAGGAAAATACTGCTTGTATTTTCTGGTCTGGAACGTACCTGTAAGACGATTTTAAGCTAAAACAAATTCAAATCGTGGTAAAAACGTGGCAAAAAGGCAATGCACTATGTTCCAGATCTGCTCCGGAAAATGGTGTGAACCTGACCTAAAGCTCCTTCCTTAGGATCAACATAGAGGCCATATGTCATTCTCATCACACCAAACTGGTGTGCACGGTACTCAGACTTGGCAGATTCTTCATGTGTCCTTCTGGATTGTCTGGATCTTCTGTCATGAGATCTGGAATTCCGCCCTGCTTCAGTCATTTGCTTTGACGTTCTGTTGAAGCCTAGGCCCTGAAGGATAGGGGCTTAACTGGATCTTATTCTACCATCTCTGAGTGGATTCGACAAAACATGATCAAGTCTATAGGTTTAAGGGCATGTTTCCACGTTTCGGTATCAGAGTGCACTCTTGAACTCTTGGTGCTTCTTGGGCTTTCCAGCTTCAGACAATAGTTTCTCAGATATGCAAGGCTGCTATCTTATCCTCTAATCACACACAAGTTTTTAACGGGTAGATGTTCAGGCCGCATCTGATGCTAGCTTGGGTCATAAGGGTCTTCAGATGGTTTTATAAGCTCTGTTAAACTCTGTTAAGCTGTTACATGAGCCTGTTGGCAGTTTCATTTGCTGTTACCTACCCCATAGTTGTATTGCTTGGAGACGTCACCATGTTTCTAAATACCATCCTGTGTCCTGTTATGTACGATAAGTAAAATTTTTACTTACTGGAAAATCCTTGGAATACATTATGGGACACTGGTCCCCTCTGTTTTTTTTTTTTAGAATCCACTCCTACTATTGCTTGCTTACAAAATAGAGGCTTCCTGGAAGTAGGAGGGGTTATGCAAGGCTATTCTAACAACTTTGTTTGGCAGTGACCAATCTCCTGCTGGCAGCTGCATTACCCAATGGTCTAAAACTCACTCTGTTCTGTAATGTACTTGAAGAAAATTATTTTGCAGCTACGATAAAAATTCAATTTTAGTTGGCAAGCAATGTGCTACCTTTTCTTAATGCACCCTTAGGCTAAGGCTACACTGTTGATTGAAGGGAATGCTCAGCTTTGTTCCCTAAGTTCGGCAAAGATTTTACATGTTCTGTATGGTTTTTAAAATTAAAAACATGATATTTTATGCTGCTTACTTTTACAAGGCGTCTAATGTATTGTAATCAAAACCTGTAATTCATAATGTGTTCAAGAGCATCCAAACCTGTGAGGGTGTGTGTGGAAAGCTAATGAACAATAACATTGACCTGGCTTGTTTAACAGTAGCATAGCCGACATGGGTGTGCCTTGATTTTCTCTTCATTAAGTCTGTGCATGAGTTTTTTTTTAATACTAAGACCGTAATATGCATGTGCGTGTTTATTGCATCTTGTATTTGAATTACAGCTGAAATTTGATAGTCCTAAAGAGCCATTTCATATGAAGCATTCCAAATATTCTTTGAGGTAAGCTCACAGTAATTGTTTAGCTATTAAATATTATACTGCCTATTAAATGCTTTGTTTTTTAGTTTATACATTTTAGGATGTGCATGATGCCTGCATTTGGTGTGCTGCTTACCCATTTTGTTTACACATCATAGTGCCTTTACCAACTGCTTAAAATAAACTTGTGCCTTAATTGATGGTCAGAATTCTTTGTACCGTTTAAACCTTTGTTCCATTTCTGCATTGTGTTGTGCTTTGACCTCCTATACAAAAATGTCTGACTTTGCTACCCTTGTTTAAAAAAAAAAAGAAATTGGTTAATTTATTAGGAAAACTAAATTGTATACAACAATGGTGCCAACATAATTACATTTATAGAACATTGCTTGTAGTAGCTCTGTTAAAATACAAAATTCTGATTTAAAGTAATTGAGCATGAAGGTAGACACCTTATTGTGCACGCCCAGTTATTTGGATACTTGATGTCATATCTGTTTATAGGGAAGTGGCTGGGAACCAGTAACATACATTTTCAGGGGATGTTGGTCAGCTAACAAAAAAAGGTTCCCAAATCCTAATTTGTCATAAGAATCTCTGCCACATTGTAAATGACAATGTAAATTTGCTTATATTGTAATTGTGCACACAGACCTGGAAGTGTGTGTGTAATAAATATATATGTATGTATGTGTATATATCTCCATATATATATCTCCATATATATATCTCCATCTATATATCTCCATATCTATATATCTCCATATATCTATATATCTCCATATATCTATATATCTCCATATATCTATATAAACAGGAACAATAAATATATATGTACCGTGTTTCCCCGAAAATAAGACACTGTCTTATATTTTTTTCCCCCCAAAAAAACACACTAGGTCTTATTTTCAGGGGATGTCTTATTTTTTTTAATGTGCAACAAAATATACAACACTTCAAAGTTTTTCATGCACAACAATCCAACGTTTTTAATTTACAACAATCAACATTTATTCATGTACAACAGTCTACATGTATTCATGTACAAAAATATACCGTACATTTATTCAAATACAGTCATGTCATCTTCTGGAACATCGTCATAACTCTCCAAATCCCGAATTCTCGCTTGATTTTCTTGCGACTTCAATTCCTTTAGAACTATTAACCCCAATCTTTCATGTCTGGCAATAGAGCTCTCTTTAAATGAACACTTCTTGTCCAGGTAGCCTGCTTGTAGTGCATTGGCAACACAGGTGTCAGATTTTAGCCCATGAATTTAGATCATTACCAGCCCTAATATATATATCTATAGATAGATAGATGTATATGTATGTATGTATGTATGTATGTATGTATGTATGTATATCTATATATATATCTATATCTATCGATAGATATACATACATACATACATACATACATACATACATACATACATACATCTCCACACCCACACACACCTCGCTTACCTGCTTTGCGACCACTTGCACTTACGACCGACCTTGTGTGTCAGCCTCAGTGCGACGTGTCGCCGACGGAAGTGATGTCCTCCGTTCTTCACTGCAGGTCCCGGTAAGTATTTTCTTGCCCGATGTTCAGTACTGTACATCTGCAACACTATACAGTACTGTACTAATGCAGTTCCTCACTTAACGACCAATTTGTTTAACGACCTGGTCATAGGAACTGAACTCTGTCGTTAAGTGAGGAATACCTGTGTGTGTGTGTGTGTGTGT